TTGTCCAGGTTCGCGATTGTACAGGATGTCACTGTACACTTTCTCAAGTGGTGCGTAAGATGGTGCGTTGGGGTTGTGGTGAGAAGCGAATGGCCGATGTGGTAAGTCAGCTTCGGGGCAGGTAAAGCACGTTCCACGAGCTCGTCGAAGTTCGCTTCCATCGGTTAGGAGCAGTGAATCTTTGTCGAGTACTCCTGCTCTGATTGTGTTGTTTAACACCGTGTTGCTTGGATGTCCCATTCGTGCGTGCCAGATGTCTTCGCCAGCTCGATGTCCGAGTGAACGACGGTACAAGTCGGAGTTGGAGTAGAAGCTTGTAGTGAAGTTTGCGCTTCGATGTACTTCTCGTGGTGTTGGGTTAAGCTGCTGCGCAGGAGTCGGTGGAGTGTCGTCGATTGGAGCCGATGCAGTTGAAGGACCAGCGATTGGTGTCGATGTTGCCGCTGCTGCTGCCGTTGTTTCTGCTGCTGCCGATGTTGTCTCTGATGCTGCCGATGTTGTCTCTGCTGCTGCCGATGTTGGTTCTGCTGCTGCCGAGTGTTGAATTGTTGCTAATGCTCTTGTTCGTTCTGCCTCAGGGATGGTGTGCGAGTACCAGAAGCCTTCTGGACTGAAGTTGGGGTCGAGATCCGGTGGATGTGTCCAGGAGGTGAAAGTGACAATCCCGTCGCTGTCAGCGGTGCCAAGATCTGGGACGAAGTCGAGGACGAAGACGTTGTTTTTTAGGACCGCCTTCCCGATGTAGAGACCGCCCTTCCCGTGGTATAACTTGAACTCCTGAGTGGTGCTATCTGCTTCGAGGTGGATCTTTGCAGGACTAAATTCTGAGTAGGACAATGTAATAGCGGAAGCGTTAAATGAGAACTTTGTGAACCACCTTGCGCTAGTATGTGAGGGCAAAGTAGATTGATTAAAACAAAGGGATACAAGCTTTTATAAGAGTACAAGGAATACGAAGAGATACAGTTAATAGTTGTTTTGCTGTTGCTGTTGCGGTTCGATACAGTGACGACTCGGGCAACTGCTCAATAGCGAGTCAGTTGTTTGTCCTTGCTGTCGCGCTGTATTTGTCAGGTCAAAAGTCGCTGACCTTTGACTTTCGCATAACCTCCAGCAGTTGTTCAACCTCCGAGGGTTGACTCGCTAATGCTTCGATATGTTTCGCTTCGCTTCTGACTTGGTGTTTCGACACGACAGAGGCGCTAAATCTATTGTTTCCAACAAACATTACAGTCATCAGCATACATGGAATACATAGCATATACTATCTCTAACATGTCCATAGACACACCATGGCGCAGCAGCGTAAGCTAGTCCGGGTGGGACACTGTCAGGGCTGACGTTTCATTTTAAGCCTCCCTGATTTCGGGGAAAATTTTCCCCCTCTATTATGGGTGCACATTTTCCAGAAAAGCAGTACCCTGATTGCTCAGGGTTGTAAAGTAGTTAACACTGATTGTTCAGGGTCGAGAACTGAACATCAGAGTAGTAACGCGCGCTTTGTTACCGGGGAAAATATCCCCACTCTCCATAAAGTCTGCGCGCTGTGTTTCCTGCTGGCTGTACACCCGACTGATTTGTGCAGGGCGGGTGTGATTGACCTGTTCGAGTCACAGATTTCCGCTGTCAGAGCCTATTTCGACCAATTCCAGCAAAGTATATCTGACATTGCACATTCACGCGATCTCGGGTGCTGTTCGCCAGCAAATCGTTTCTTCAACAGGAAACGATGGCATCAGCATCGCGACCGCATATGGAAACGGGGGCGGAACCCTCCTCCGAGGTTTGGGCGAAATGCCGCCCGAGAAACTACGCGCGCCCGAAAGGCGAAATTTCTCAACCGCATTGGGAAGGTCCATCCCCACCTTCCCCACAATGGCACGAAATTTGCTCATCCCTGACCCTTGTGCTGCCCGCTGACCAAAAATTGCTCAACGCGGGTAAAAAACGCAAATAAAACATACCCCGCTCAAACACAACCCCCGCTACCACGTGCTCATGCCCAGACACAACTCAAGTTATGCGCGGGGGGCATTTCGAAGGTGTGTTTGGGAGGGAAAAATGGGGGGTATACGAACCCACCTTTGTTAAACTGCAGGCTTGTTCAAGGGTTACCCTCTGAACAGCAATGCGTCGGCTGTGCCACCGCTGTGCTTTGAAAAACGCGGCATGACGATGGCATGGCTAGGGGATGGCATTTTGCCTGGGAACGAAGTTTCGTCCCCGCTTCCAGATGCCGTCGAACTGTTAGATTTGGTGGAGAAAAGTGGGCGTTCGCCAGACGCCCACTTTGTTTGCTGGTTTGGACGGTAGGTGAGGCTCGGCACTTTTTTCACGGGCTGACCAAGCTGACGGAGGTTAACGAACTCTAACTGACGGGATCAGGAAGGCGAAACCCACCTTCCTTATCCCGTTGTTACCCCGTGGTTTTTGGATATGATGGTGCTGGCGAACAGCACCTCGATGGTAGGTGTATCAGAACGAAGTTTCGAAGAAACTTCGTCTCGATAAAGCGGGAAGGGGGGGGATTATGTCAGAATGTTATCTTATGCTCTAGCCTGTAGTGGGGTGCTCTATAGCGAGTACAACCCTTCTAGGGTTTGCTATTTGTATCCTCATTCTTGCTAGTGCAATCTTCTTCTTTCTTCTAAACTTTAACATGCTATCAGAGCAGGTCGATCCCCTTGGATCGATCCTGTGGGTGGGCTTACCACCTCCTAGCTTCCGCTGCAACTCCTACCACTACACTCGGTGCCGCACGCCCCGTGGCGTGTGGCAGTTTTCTTCCCGCCGTGCGCCCCGAGGCGCGCGGCGGTTTTCTTCCCGCCGTGCGCCCCGAGGCGCGCGGCGGTTTTCTGCCCGCCGTGCGCCCCGAGGCGCGCGGCGGTTCTCTGCCCGCTGTGCGCCCCGAGGCGCGCGGCGGGCTTCGGCCCCGTCAACCGTCGCGTCGCCCTCGGGAGGCGCCGCGACGGGCGACGGGGACCCGTTCGTCGCCCCCCGTCGCCCGTCGTGGCCTGCGCGCGGCCCGTACAGGCAGCGCGCGACCCGTACGGGCTGCGCCAGGCCCGCGCGCGACCCGTACGGGCTGCGCCAGGCCCGCGCGCCACCCGTACGGGCTGCGCCAGGCCCGCGCGCGGCCCGTACGGGCGGCGCCAGGCCCGCGCGCGGCTCAGGCCGCCTACGCGCGGTTCGGGCGACCCTACCAGGCCCGTGGTGGGCCCGCTCCTTGCTGCCCCTGCCCTCCCTACTGTCCCCCAGCGCTTCTACTCGTGCCCCACCCCTCCTACTCCCCATTCTCCTGTATTAGGGTTTGGGGGTGCGGGGTATGGGGGTGCACCCACTGTGTACTGTTCCCTGCTCCTCCTCCTCCTCCGTCTCCCTGTGCTGCAGCTGCCGCTGAGGGGGGGTGGACGTGTTGGAGCCGGTGGAGTGGTACTAAGGGGGGGTGAAGGGGGAGTGGAGCTAGCGGTGTAGCAGCGGGTATGTGCCAGGGGGGAGTGGGATAGTTTGGGGAAGCTGAATGGAGGTTGCCGTCGTGTCGCCAGCAGCACCTGTATTCCGGGGACTTCGTCCGGTAGCCCAGTCGTAGCCAGCTGTGCCAGCCGCCCGTGGGTCCGTTGCTCGTCTGCCGCTACCTTAGCCGCGGGGCCTGTTACTCCTGTATTCCGGGGACTTCGTCCGGTAGCCGCTGTGCCAGTCTGCCTCCTGTTGCCTGTGTGTCTGCAGCTTCAGCCGTCGCCTCCTATCTCCTCTCCTCTCACTCTCTCTCCTCCTCCTCACTTGCCCGTTGTGACTACCACTAGCTTTGCTCATAATTGTGAACTTAAACTATTGCTTCTTGAACTTGTGCTCAGAATGTGTGGTGACATTGTGATCCACCCTGAGCTTGTACTCCTTTGCTTACTCTGCTGATTACACCCCACTTTGGCTATGGGGGTGCGTCAGAATGTTATCTTATGCTCTAGCCTGTAGTGGGGTGCTCTATAGCGAGTACAACCCTTCTAGGGTTTGCTATTTGTATCCTCATTCTTGCTAGTGCAATCTTCTTCTTTCTTCTAAACTTTAACAGATTACGCACATGCGGGGGGATCACTGTGATCAATCCAAGGCGGGGTCATCGGAAGGAAACTTCCGAGAAACTTCCTCTCGATAAGTCAGGGTCCACACAGTCGATACACTGTTAAGTCAGGGTCCACTAACAGCCTAGTCTGTTACACTGTACTCAAAATCAGGGATAGCTAAACTATTACTCTGATTGGATAAGGGCTGGAAATTCAATAACTCTGAAATTTCAGTCTCCACGAAGTGGAAAGCCTGAAATCACCCTGAAATCAGGGTAATTACCCTGATAATATCAGCCCTGGACACTGTAGGCCCATAGTGGGCGCAGAAAATATTTCTGACCCTATTTGCATTCCTCTAACTTGTACAAGGGGCCTGCAACACTGCCCATGTTACAAATGAATCGCCTACACAACCCTTGGCTCGGCCTTACAAACGTAGGGTGTTCGCCCAAGGGTGTGAACATAAAGGGTTTTGACCTATTGGTGACTGTATTTTTGTACAAAGAATGAGCGCAACACTCATGCAGCCGATGCGTTTCGCAGCAGTTGCTTTTCTGTGGTGGGCGGCCGCCTCCCCAAGCTGTTCCAGAGAATATAATCTCCTGCCACAATCTGCACGCAATCATTTGCAACTCAGGGAGTGCGAAGGTGGAAAATGCATCACATCAGTGCACCTTCTTTGATTTTACACATTACACTACAGTGTCACAATATTTACAGTGCAGCAGCAACACGATGCATTAGCAAGAGGTAAGTGTAGGTGTGGCTTGATATAAGAACGACAGACTTGTATAAACTGGATGAGGAGTGCTTAATAGGGCTGGTACTCAGACGGTGCTGACTGTGAGTCATAGAAGTTAACTGCATATCGCTCTCACTCATGCACTTGTGACTCGCTCTTTGTTCACCCCCGCTCCTCTCTCACCCCCCGCTCACCTGGTGAGAGATTTCAACTGGAGGTGTCTTGGTTGGCGGAGGGAATATGTTGATCTGATGTGAACCCAACCCAGCAGGCACACAAATAGAAACAAACGAGCGAGTATACATACACAGAGAACCAAACCATGCACAAGAGCAGAAATGGTGCTAGGAAACAGTTCAATATGGCAGATGGAAGATGTTGGTTGCAGATGTTGATCTCATGTGATGTTGATCTCATGCGCAGTGCCAGATTGCACCGGCACAAGCTGCATATGCATGTGTGTGGATGCACAAGCAGGACATGTAAGAGTGTGATCAGTCTCAAACAAAATAGGAGTTACGGATTCACAGGGAATCCTGAGGTGCCTTCGGAGATAAGGGGGGGGTAGAGATGTGCAGGAGATTTCGAGGAAATCACTGGGAGTGCAAATGGGCGGGCAGGAGCCATTGTGATTATGAATAATGAATCATGAGTTCTACGAAGCAAAGGCCAGAGTTTGCATCAGAACAGAGCAAGTCAACTCACCTTGCTAGCGCTCACTGCAATGCCTGAAACCGTTCCTCCATGCATCTTGAATGCCACCTGATGGCGCATCACAGGCATGAAAGGGTGAAGGCATGACTGGGGTTTCCATGTCACACTGCAATGCTTTGGATTAGACTGTTCCTCCGTGCATCTTAAAGGCCACCAAGTGGGGCACCACTGGAATCACAGGGTGAAGGAATGAACAGGGTAAGGGGGGGGGGGATGACAAGTGCAAGGCATCGAAGGGATGAGGCATGACAGGGTCACGAGGCACGGTGTTGGTAGCTCGTGAATTGCCACAGAATCTAAGAGGACAGGAAGAGTCATGGCTGGGGAGGATGTGGAATGGCGAGCAATTCAAGATGATGGAAACGCACCTTAGCATAATCAAACGCATCTCGACAAAATGGGTCATCCCAACCAGACCCCTCCACACCACGCACAACCCCTCCCTCCTCCACCCCCACTCCCTCATCCTCCTCCTCCACCCCTTCTCCCACAACCCCCTTCCTCTCCCCCTCCTCTTCGCCCTCTCTCCCTTCCCCTGTCGGATGGAAAAACACCGAACCAGAAAAGGAAACTTCCAGAGTTTTTCCCGAGTAGCCCCGCGCAAAGATCCGCCACTCAATTAAGTGGTCGGCGTGGGTAACTACCCCCAAAGACGGGGGCGCAGCAGAGACCGTCAGAATGCGGCGGCGTGGGAAAGGCATATGCAGTGTGCACTGTTCCATGTTACAGGGCGGCTTGTACCCATCCATTATCCGGAGCTTCAGTAAAAACTGGGACTCGGTGGGAGAAACAAACTGGTTCTGGTAAAAGCCGACGACGGGAGGTGTTCGCATGGAGGCTAGAAGGCGGGCGAGAGAGGTGGGGGCAGTAGGGGGTTTGGGGGAGAAGAAGGAGGAGGAGAGGAAGGAGGGGGTGGAGGGAGGGGCGGAGGGGGTGGTGGGGGAGGGAGGAACCCGTAGCTGCTGCTGTTGTTGCTGCTGCTGCTGTTGCTGCTGCTGCTGTTGTTGCTGCTGCTGCTGTTGCTGCTGCTGCTGTTGTTGCTGCTGCTGCTGTTGCAGTTGCTGTTGCAGTTGCTCCGGGGTGGTGGGCAAGCAGCAGTGGTAGTTGACCAGATCGAATGCCCCCAGGGGTGGGCTGAATGATACGGTGTGCTGATTGGAGAGCTGTGAGAGGCGGGAAGGGAGAGTGAGAAAGAGGTGAGGGTGGTGGGCAAGCAACAGTGGTATTTGACCAGATCGAACGCTCCGAGGGGTGGGCTGAAGGAGACAGTATGCTGGCTGGAGTGCTGTGAGGTGTAATCGGGAAGGAGTTGAGACAGCGGAGAGCAAGAGACAGAGAATAGGGGAAGGGATGGGGAGAGAGACGGATGAGCAGGCAGCAGTGGTAGTTGACCAGGTCGAATGCCCCCAGAGGCAGGCTGAATGAGATGCTGGTTGAAAGCTGTTGAAAGGGTTGAAAAGAAAAAAAAAAGTGGAGATGAGAGAGAGAGAGAGAGAGAGAGAGAGAGAGAGAGAGAGAGAAAGAGAGAGAGAGAGAGAGAGAGAGAGAGAGAGAGAGAGAGAGAGAGACCGGATGATCCGAAGAAGGCAGATGTGATTGTACGCGACCCAGACAGTGGTGAAACATGGATCACAGACACGACCATCACTGACCCCGTGCTACAGAACCGTGACCCAGCAGCCCGCAAACCCCCTGGATGGGCTGCAAGGGAGGCTCAGAAAAGGAAGGAACGGGACTACTACAGGCACACAGAACACGTGGTGTTCTGCGCCCTAGCCGTTGAGACCTATGGGGCAAACGCACCCCCCACGACGGCGTTCCTGAAGTTGCTGGCCACAGCAGCAGCTAGGAACCGCTTCAGGGCCAATCCCTTGGCGAAAACCGCCAAGAAAATGGCCTGCCACTTCAGCCAGCGCTGGTCAGTGGCCCTCCAGCGCTCTCAAGCGAATGCCCTGCACACCAAGGCCAGGGCAGGGATCGAGGCGGCGCACCCCCAGATGGCAGCAGACCCATGGCCGCTGCACCTGGGGGACATCCTCCACACGCTGGAGGGGTAGAGGGTCACTGAGGGGGGAGGGGGGTCAGAGGGATGGGCCAATGGGGCAGAGGGTCTAAAGGGAACCACAAATCAAACCGTATGCTTGTACCGCCGCTGAATTAATACCAAGGACCGTTTGAGAGAGAGAGAGAGAGAGAGAGAGAGAGAGAGAGAGAGAGAGAGAGAGAGAGAGAGAGAGAGAGGGAGAGAGAGACTCCCTTAGCCCTCTGCCCTCTGCCTCATCCCTCTGCCCTCTGCTCTCCAGAGCCTTTTAAGGGGGCTTTGGCCTTTTTCTCGTCATTATTTCGTGTGGTGTTCAATTTCGGCGGCTCGCGCCGGCGGCCTTCGGCCGCCGCCGCTCGCTTGCGCGGCCTCCGGCCGCGCGCTCCTGGTGGCAAGGAACAAGGCGGAGGACTACCAATACGGGGAAGAACGCTCACGCAAAGAAAGCAGGAGAGCAGGACTACAACAAGACATCACGGCATGCAGTTCTACACTAGGCGAAAGCCTACATCGTGTACGGCTCCGCCCCCTCCACCTCAAGCATCGAGCGCATGCACGCCGTCATTGCAAGGAGGAGATGCGCCGACGACTGAAGTGTGTCCACAGGAGTCCCGACCTGAGCAGCCCCTACAAGATCCCCCACGTGGCGGGGGAAGGTACGCGCTAAGGGCACTACCCCGGCGGGCGCTTCCGACACGGGTGCCAACGGCGACTCGAGCGATTCTGCCAAAGACACGCAGGACCCTCGGGATCCTGGACCGTAACTGCTCGGAAAGCTCCGCGTGGCCCCACACACCGCCAGCTGCAAGTTCGCCACCACCTCACACGCCTCCGCCAGATTCAGAATCCGGCACATGGTCAGCATGGGGTCTCTCCCCGCGTGAGTGGGGGGAGGTGCAGTCGGAGCTTCGCGCGGAAACGCCGTCGACCAGCCAGGAGTCCGGCCACCAGTCACGCGCTGCGCGGAGAAGCCCGGGACCTGGCGAGGGGTGCGAAACCGAGCCCCCCCCTCCCGCGCGGGCAGATACTCGCGCAGCGTCGGCGCACGCTGAGGAGCCACCGGGCCTGGGTCCGCGGCGAAGGGAGGTCCGTTGGTCACCTCAATGTGCACGTGCGTCGGCTCCCCACTCGCCCGCGCCTGCCGCACCACTTCCGCAAATGCATTCGCGGCCCGATCGAGGGCGGGATCCTGCCCGCTACAATTGCCGCCACGCCCACCGCCATTCCGCCGGCCCCGCCGACCTCCGGAACCAGCAGAGTGTGGTCGCGGAGGGGACTGCTCGCGTCGGCCCGAATCCCAACGACGCCCAGGTGACCCCCTCCCCCGCGTCGCCGGAGATTGCCGCGGAGACCGTTGCGCGGGGGATCGCGCTCGGGGTGAGCGCTGGCCTACCCGACCACGAGGAGATGGGCGGCGAGGAGAACGGGGACGCGCCGGGGACCGCTGAGCGCCCTCCCTGCGCTGTGGGGCTTCGCGACGCTCAGGAGATGGGCGGCGAGGAGAGGGCTGCCGAGGAGGCTGACGCGGAGGCGAGCGCCCACGCTCCTGCCGCGGCTGACCGTCAGGGCGGCTTGACGCAACACGTGCAGGGGCCCACGAATACTCCGGCGAGGTGGGGCGCGCGGCAGGCCGATGAGGAAGAGTTAGCATCCGCTCAAAGCGGCGGACGGGCTCGCTTGCGGAGGGATGCGCAGGGACACGCGGTCGAAACCCGGCAGGCGCAGGGTCCGGCAGCGCGCTCTCCGCAGAACCCTCGAGCTCCGGATCCCGTCGCGCGGATGGGTCCATCACCCCCGACAGCACCGCAGCCGACGCCAGCACGCCGACCTATTGGGGACGAGGCGGATAGGGCGCCCCTGGCAGGGCGCGCGGGAGCGGCGGGAGGAAGAGGAACGCGGGGAATCCGCGTGGGACGCGGCAGCAACCGCCGCGGACGACGCGGGAACGGGAGAGGACGCCGAGGTGGAGGAGCGCGCGGCACAAATCGGCGCCGTACCGGCGCAAGCGGATACGCGAGAACAGCAGAAAGGCTAATGCGTGAAGGCGCGGAAGGCGGCGAGGAGGTGCTCAGCGAGGATGCGGAGGACGAAGTCGAGATTGAAGAAAGCGATGGGGGTGACCCCGCTTTTAACCCAGAAAGAGAGGGGATGTTCGAAGCTGAGGCAGAGGAGGACGAGGCAGAGTTGGAGCTGCTGCTTCAAGAAATGGAATCCCCAAACCAGCAGGCCCGAAGCGATCCCGCGAACCGAACCACACATCGAAACCGAACCGCGGGGGGAAATCGTGCAAGGGGGGGAAATCAAGCCGCGACAGAAGACGGAATTGACTCTGCAGCGGCCAATGAAAATTCAGAAGCCCCTAATCCAACCCCCCTGATGCTCAAACCTGACGACCTGGCGAAAAACACAGACCTGTTCGCCCAGGTTGCAGACTGGGACCTTGACCCGCTACGCGACAGTCGCCAACCTCCTCTTGCCCGCCACCCCCCCAAAGACCTTCGCGAATCCTTCGCGATCTGCATGTTGACACCGTTACTCCACCTGGCGGCCAATCCCGAGTCCCCACCTGGGTGGAAGTTACTGACCTTCCTCCCGCGCCTACTTCTTCGCACCTCGTCAGCCCGTAAGCCTGACTGGAGCGCGATGATGAATCGGCTCCTGCTTTTTCGCCAAGGGTCCTGGGCCGTCCTATACGAAGAAGCTGTCCAGGCGATTTCCCTGCCACCGCAACCTCGCCACGCACCTGACACAACTGGAACCCTGGCAAGAGCGGAAGGACTGGCAAAACGGGGTAACCTGTCAAAATCACTTCAATCCCTCCAGGCCACTCCCGTGTCGCCAGCCTCACCTGAAGTGTTGGAAGCCCTCACGGCGAGACACCCACCTGCATGCCAATCACTCCCTGATTGGCTTCACACTGCCACGGCGGAAGACCCACCCACTGTCGAAGCCCGCGACTTCAGGCGTCTCCTCGCCAAGCTCCCCAATGGAGTCGGGGCCGGGCCTTCAGGAACCACCTTCGAGCACATCCGAGACGCGGCCCTTGGGAATGCCGAAGTACTCACCCATCTCCTCGCCCTCACAAACACGGCTCTAGCAGGAAAACTCCCCGCGACCGCAGGGGAACTCTTAACGGCCTCCCGCCTGTTAGCCTTTACGAAACCTCAAGGTGGGACGAGGCCAATCGCGGTGGGTGAATGTCTCCTCCGGATCATTACCAAGGCCGCCCTATTTCTGACCGCGCCGGCCGCTCGTACTCACTTTACTCCCCTTCAGTTCGGAGTAGCAGTAGCAGGGGGGATCGAAGCGGCTATCCACACCGCTCGCACGTACCTGGAAGTGCACCCAGGGGCAGTGGCGCTGCAGATTGACCTCGCGAACGCGTTCAATGCGGTCGAAAGGAGAGCGGTGTTCGAGGGGCTGAGAAACGAGGCGCTGAAGGCGCTGATTCCCCTCGTCCGCCTATCCTATGGGGCTGCCTCCTCTCTCTTCCTCGACCACGACTTCGGCGCTGCCCCGCTGCAGAGCGCCAGAGGAGTCCGCCAAGGGGACCCGCTCGGCCCCCTCCTGTTCGCGGCAAGCATCCATCCGTGCCTCGTTGACACGGCGGCAGCACACCCTCAGGTGGTCCTGCTGGCGTACGCCGACGACATCACGCTGCTCGGCGACGCCACGGCCTGCACAGCGGCATTTGTCCACCTCACATCGGCACTAGCCGCCCTCGGCCTGGTTCACAATCCGGGAAAATGCGCGGCGTGGTCTGCCGCAGCAATCGACCCTTCTTCGGTTCCCCCAGGCATTAGTATCGCCGAAGAAGGGTTGCAGATTCTCGGCAGCCCAGTGGGCACACCCCGGGGCTGCGCAGGCGCTGTGAGAGAGAGATTGGCAGCAGCGGCAGCCCCTCTCCCCCTGCTAGCCCAGATGGACCCCCAGCTTAGTCTCCTCCTCCTCACCCGCCGCCGAGCATCTTTTCTGGCCAGAACCACCCCCCTGGAAGCCCTCCCGGAAGCGGAATGGTCTGCTTGGGGGGAACAGCTCCTCCACACCTTCTTGGTTTCGGCCCACATCTTGAGCCCGAGGAGTGCCAGGGAGAGACGGAGGGTCTGGCGGCAGGCAGCACTG